TAAGCCCCAGCCAGTTATACATATCCAAGCACACTTCAAAGTATATTATGCTACACAGTCCAAAGTGGAGGTTACTACTCAATTTGAAGTTCTGTTTCTGAGTAATTGACGCAAAATAATTTGCCCCCAGTCAAAAGGCAGGGGGGAGGGGGAGGGTTTGCATAAAGTTTTATACATTGGTTCAAAAGACAAATGTACATGAACTGAAATGGTGTTGGAATGCTTTTGTTCCTATACATGATGAAGACTTGTGGCTTGTTTTGTAAACAAAGAGATACTATTTCTGCCTTTGAAAATGTACACAAACCAATGTAAAAAAATTGTGGATTTTGAAATCTTTTGTGATGTTAGTAGAGGTACAAAGAAATATTAGTAATGTTGAGCTTTTTTAAGCTCAAAGTTTTAAAAAAATTGTGAAAACGTCTTCCTTTCTATTTGGAGTTCATCCTTAATATTTTGAGAAAGTGAGCATTTTTAATATTCAGAGACATTTTTTAAAAAGAAAAATGATGTTAAAAACATGTTTTTGTGGAGTCTTGTGTGCATCATCAGTATGGAAAAACTGCTGTTTTTCCTACATTATTTTGGGCAAGATAGTCCTCACTTGCTGCTTTTGATGGTACTGCCTGAAGGGATCACATCCTTGACTCTCTTCTTATGGATTGCCACTGTCCAAATGAAATTCAGAAGAGCTGGGAAGAATATAAAACAGAACATCTCAGGTTTTCTACCTCTTCAGACGTGCTAGCTTCTTTCAAAATACTATTATTCCTTGTAGATACAATACCTTTTCTTTTTTTTTTATATTACCTGAAACTGCATGCTCCAGATCAGTGAATCAGTATCCACAAAGAGTAACTGAATACCTGCAAAGCAAATTCATACTTTTCATGTCCCCTGTGGTGTATTCTTCCCTAGCCCTCAGTGTTAAGCTCCTGCTAAAAAGATTTTGGCTTGACATCAAAGAATGTTTTCCCTTTGTTCTAGGAACTTGATTGTGGGCACAGTATGCAAATATTGATACTATATTTACTCAAATATAAGATGTGGGATTTCCCTCAACCAGCATGGGGGGAAAGCACCTTGTCTTACATCCGCATATGAAGTGGAATGGGGAGCAGTTGGCTGCTCTGGCTCTGACTCTGGCCCTCAGCCCAAGTCAGGGCCAGAGTTAGACCCACAGCAGCCCCTTCCCGCACAGAAGACATGGAAACTCCTTCTGCCTGGCCAGTCAGCAGCCATGACACTGCTGCATGGCCAAGCAAGGGCTGAACTTCCACATGCTGTGCTCCAGGACAGAGTAGCCAGAGCAGTGTTTGGCAGTAAGGGGAGTTGTGGAGGTGGAAAGAGACAGAAAGTGGGGAGTTGGGTGGGGAAGAGGCAGAGACTGGGGACAGTTTGGGAGAGCGAGGCAGAGGCTGGAGGGAGAGGTAGAGGCTGCAAGAGACTGGGAAGCTGGGGGTGGTGGGGCTGAGAGCAAGGGGATCACCTGGCCAATAGGGCTGTGCGAAACTTCGGTAGCCAGTTTGATTAGGAGGACATTTGGTGGCCGAATCTCCGAATCTGAATCGAATTGGAAGACCCGTTACAAGGTCTGAATTGAATCAGAAAGCCTCCAAATCAATTTGGAGAGATTTGGAGATTTGGAAGGCTTGCAGCAAACAGAAACTGCTAAGAGGAAGGGGGGTGGAGTGATTTTCCATATATGGAAAAGGGTGAGATGGGGGGTGGGGGGAAAAGACTGCTCTGATACTGACATCTGTAGCTGGCCCAGTGACTGATCTTTCCCCACACACACAAATGATACGAGTTTTGCTTTCAACAGTTTGAGGTGCACTTTCACAGAAGCCCTTGCACCTATCTCCTTAAAACTTTGCAGGCTTCATGCCCTCAGAAGAGGCTACCATCCCTGCTGTTTTCATCCGAATCTGCGAAAAAATGACAAAGTTATAGGTATTTTAGTGATTCCCCATTAAAGTCTATGGCCAAATCTCCAAATCGGTGCCAAATCTCCGAATCGGCCAAATTGAATCAAGACAGTGATTCGAATCACCAAATCAAATCACTGTCCCTCCAAATTGGCTGAAACCGAACCGAATACTTGCTGCTTTGCACAAGGCTACTGACCCTCCTAGTCTACTTTTCCTGCTGTAGCAGTAAAAGGTGTGGGGTTCAAGACAACTCTTCAGTACTTACCTGGGAAATTATAATAAATTTATAAATTTTCCATATATAGAATCTAAATATTGGGGGTCATCTTATATTCAGGATCATCTTATATTTAAGTAAATATGGTAATAGAGCTAGATATAGGATGGGCAAATATGTTCATTGACTAGTCCAGTCTGATATAGTTTCATAGTAGCTAGGGTCAAGAGGGACCTGATCAGATCATCTAGCCTGACCCCCTACCACAGGCAGGAATGAATGCTGGGTTCACAAGACCCCAGACAGGTGATCATCTAACCTCTTTTTGAATTTGCCCAAGGTAGGGGCGAGGACCACTTCCCTGGGAAGTTGGTTCCAGATTCTGGCCACCCTAACTGTAAAGTATTGCCTTCTGATCTCTAACCTAAACCTATTCTCCGTCAGCTTATTACCATTGTTCCTCATCACCCCAGGTGGTGCTGGGGAGAATAGAGCTCTTCCTATTTGCTGATGATCGCCCCTGATGAGCTTGTAGGCAGCCACCAGATCCTCCCCTCAGCCTCCTCTTGCTGAGGCTGAACAGGTTCAGGTCCCTCAGTCTCTCCTCGTAGGGCCCGTCCTGCTGCCTTCTCACCAAATGGGTGTCCCTCCTCTGAACCCTCTCCAGGCTGGCCACATCCTTTATAAAGTGCGGTGCCTAGAACTGGACGCATTACTCCAACTGTGGCCTGACCAATGTCGCATAGAGGGGGGGTATCACCTCTCTGGACTGGCTTGAGATGCATCTTTGGATGCATGACAAGGTTTGGCTGACTTTGCTGGCTGCGATCTGGCATTGGCAGCGCGTGATCATCTTGGAATCAAAAATGACTCCCAAGATCCCTTTCCACCTCTGTGCTTTCAAGAGGGGAGCTCCCCAGTCTGTATGTATGCTGTGGATTCCTTCTCCCAAGGTGCAGCACCCTGCACGTGTCTATGTTGAACCCCATCCTATTCTCATCTGCCTACTTTTGTAGTCTGTCTAAATCTAGTTACAGCCTCTCTCTCCCTTCAAGTGTGTCCACCTCACCCCGCATCTTAATGTCATCAGCAAACTTAGACAACGTGCTTTCAACCCCCTCGTCCAAGTCGCTGATGAAGATGTTAAACAGTGCGGGCCTGAGGACTGAGCCCTGGGGGAACCCACTGCTCACATCTCGCCAGGTTGAGTACAACCCGTCCACCACTACTTTCTGGGTGCACCCCATCAGACAATTTTTTACCCATCCAATTGTGTAGGGATCAATGCCACAGTCGCTTAATTTATGGATGAGAATGGGGTGAAATAATATAATAATATAATAATAATATAAAAATTAGATCAATGGATCTAATCAGTCTTGCAGTTTAGTGGATCTGCTTCATGCCAGCCAGTTTTATAGGTAACAATATTGTGAAAATCCATCCCATATAGACAAATACTTATTTTGTGTTTTTGCATGTGATCAAGTTACCTTAAAACACAGCTCTCTGATATGAATGGATTTATAATTGGTCTGTATCATAGAAAGAAATGCCATGTATTATGTGGTTTACCCAAATGTGGTATAGTAAAAACCTATTTTATATACTGTATTTACTTGAATCTAATACCACCCTGAATTTAAGACATACACCGAAGGTTTGTCTTAAATTTATCTCCTTCCTGTTGCTACAGCAGGGAAAACAATGGCTGGGGGGGGGTGTCAGGTGGCCCCCTTGGCCTCTGACCCCCCCCGCACTTTTTCCCTCCGTAGCCCCTTCTTCCCTCTTACTGTCAGACCCTGCTTGGGCTCTGTTCCCTCCCAGAACTCATGGGCAGGATGCAAGATAGTAAGAGGGGGGGGACACACAGAAGCTGCAGAAGGCAAGCAGAAGCTAATTTGAACTGCAAGGGACCAAAAAACACTGACTTCAAAATAAATACGCCTACATTAATTTGCATATATGCAGATTGCTATGGGTACCTACAAACTTAGATCATCCAGAATTGATGCATTGTACCTTATTTTGCAAACTGCTGCAAGTTTTAGCACATACTCCATAAACACACTCTTGAGCAGCACTTTTGTACCTATTTATATATATAGTACAAACTGGGCGCATCTGCACAAGATGCTGTGTTGCCATAGTGATGAGCTGTGAAGAGAGCTCATCGCTACAGCAACGTAGCGTCGGGGAGTGCAAACTGTGACGCTGCCGCTATGTCACGGTAATGACAAGCTACATCACCAGAGCTCATTGCTCTGGCAGCATAGCAGCTAAAAATAACTGTGCACTGCCAGGTATTGCAGTCAGGTGTGCAGTCAGGGGCACGTGCAGATATGCTTGCTATGCATGATATTAGTCCAAAGCCAAAAGGCTCATGATCTATCACATAGGTCATTAAGCTGGGCCTCAGCAGAGTCAGCAGTGTTTTAAGCCACGGTGACCCTGCAGCCCAGCATCGTTCAGTGTGTGTGTATGCGTGTGCATACATACTCCAGTTAACCCTCACAAAAGATCCACATGCTAATTAGCCCCCCACTTGTGACTGGACCCCGGTATTTTTGCACAAGTCCTGAGATCCTCCAAAATTGTATATGTGTATGAGGCACAGGGCTGTCTGGTCTGGCTCCACTCCATGCAGGGTGGAGCTGCACCTGCCACATGCAACAGTTCTAAGAGAGGGGGTGACAGAGACTGTCATCTACATAAATGTATGGTGATATTTGCTAGGCATTTAAGAATGGTGAAGAAACAGGAATAATTGGAAATGGGGGAAAGGGTACTGTGCAGGTGTGGGACTGAAGAGGAAGCTGAAATGTATTCGATGTATTGGTTCACCATGAGTGAAAAAGGGTCGGCAGGGGAGATACCATGATCAATCTGTTGGTTTTCCCAGGGTGAGCCTGGCTCTTGCACTGTGGGCAGGCTGACGTCTGCAAGCTTCCCAAATGTAGGCTGCTCAAGTGCACAATTCTGTGGTAGTGGGGGACTGTGTTTTTGCTTTCCTCCTTGCTTTCTCCTTCGACCTTGAAGGTAGGAACTAGTGTCACAAGGGGACATCCAAACTGCAACGTCTTCTGGGTTGGGGCCTGCATGTAGAATACCTGCTACAGACTTGAGTTGTATCCAAAATCCCAGACTGATGGGTCGGGGAGGGAGGAGACTTGCCCTGTGGTAGAGTCTCTCAGACTTGAGTGATTGAGCACCGCTTAGTCAATTTGGAATTTGGAACTAATTGGTCCTTAAGCCAAAAAAAAATGGGTGTGTTTGCCTAATATGAGTCATATGTTTTACAGGCATGCTGTGTGGGCTGCATTCAGTTAGCTTCATAGTTGGTTTCCATTACTGAGAACATGCTGCTTTTAGCAGCAGTTTAATGAGAGACAATATATTTAATTAGGAGGTTTTCCTATATGCAAATATAAGACAAGGAGCTTTTTTCCCATGCTGTTTGTGGGGTGAGGACTTCGTCTTATATTAGAGTAAATGCAGTATTTAATGTTGCAAGCACTACCCATTAAGTAACCCAGAACATTAGGCAGTGGGTAATGCTTGCTCGATTTATGATGGGTCATGGATAGTACTGATATAGAAAGGAGAAAAAAAATTTTAGATTTGTTCTGAACGTAATTAGAATGAGCAACATATGTAATACTGCGGTGTTCTTGGTGGTTCCTTTTTCTCTTACTCAGCTATAATCACTTTTCAGAGAAGTCTCATGTTTTTTGCTTAAAGAATATAAAGTTTCTTTTTACTCAAGTCTCTTCTGGTTTAGAAGAAAAAATGATCAGGAAGAGTACACAATATAACCAAAAGGTAGCAGGTTTAGAAAAAAATTGATGAGATTTCTTGGAAATATTAATTTAGCAAACATTTTATAGCAAATATTTTATAAGATGTTAACCCCACATGAATTTGTCTAATTTTTGCAGGACTCTGAGGAAGAGGATAATGAGTTGGAGGCCATTAACAAGAAGCTGATAAGTTCACAGGGTATTCAGAATTTTCGGCCTTATGTACCTGAGGAGTTTGCTGACTTCAGTGTTTACAATGCCAGCCTAGAGAACAGGGAATGGTTTTCCTCTAAAACAGACTTCATAAGTTCACGTGTTCATGAGAAAGAGGTGTCACGCAGTCCCACCACTAGCAGTATCACTAGTGGATACTTTTCCCACAGTGCCTCTAATGCTACTTTGTCTGACATACTTGTTCCTGGTAGTGATAGCACAGATCAGCTAGCCAGTCAGATGAAGGATCTGGACTCTACTGACCATTCAGGACCACCTCTTGCACATGATGTAAGATCTTTGAACAAGCAGTTTCCAGAGTCAGAACAGGAGTTAGCTAAAGAAAAGGTACCCATGTCACCACTAAAAGAAAACAGTGCCTTAACAGAAGGAATACCACTGTCCCTAGATACTACTAACAAAAACTCTGAGAAATTACATAGGGCTGACTCCTGTTCACCATTAGATTCCTCAGCTAGCAAAAACATCCGACCTACAGTTAAGTTTTCATCGCGTGAAGTAACAATTGAACGTACTACAGATGTTCTCGAAGATCACTCGTTTACAGAATTCATGGGTGTTGAAGATGGAAAGGACTTTGACCATTCAGTAATTCCACAGCCATGTTCCACTGATTCCTCTAATGGAGTGGAAAAAAGTACAACTACTGGGCTGGACAGTGCCTCTGATTTATCGCAAAACACTGACACTCAGCAGGTCTCTCACTTGGGCCAGCTGGAATGTATGGCAGTAGATTACCAGCCTTCAAACACTACTGAAAACCCTTTATGTTCTGTACTAGTAGAAGAGACTACATGCTGTCAGACATACCCTGATTCTTCCCTGGATGATTTTATTGGAAAGAACCATTTAGATGTTTCTGACTATGAAGATGGTGCATCTGCAGAACAAGTCCATACCTTGCCTAGCTGGGTGGCAGTGGGAGAACAAGTGTGTGTTGGAAGTAATAAGACTGGCACAGTGAGATACATTGGACCAGTGGATTTTTCAGCTGGAATCTGGGTTGGAGTTGAGCTAAGCGTTCAATTGGGTAAGAAGCTACAAATACACTGTAGGTTGTGTACATCATGTAGGGCAAGTTTTAAAGTTATGCTATATAATTGCACACTTCAGTGTTTGGAAATGCCAGACTAGGCAGGTGGGAAGGGTATCTGATATAACCAGCCTTCTTAGTGCTGGGTGGGGGGTTATTTGTTTTTAAATTCACTGACATTTCTTTTTAAAGGGTTGCTTTTAAAATGTATGTTTAAACATATAACTGCCTCTCTTCTCTCTGCTTTGTGAACTTTAGTGCTTTCACATCCCAGATCACAAACTGTTGCCCTTGCTCCCATTTTTAAGACAAGTGAAACTTTTAAAGTGGTTGTTATTTTTAAAAATTCATATTTGCCAATTCAGTTTCTTTTTGCAGTAGGAATCAGCAACTGAGGAGTTCAAATTATCTAGAGTTTTGGTGGTTGTCTGTTGGGTTCTTTTTTGTTTTGGGTGGCTGGGTGTGGGGTTTTGTTGCTGTTGTTTTAAAGAGACCACTTTTCCTCAGGGAAAGAAGTCAAGGATACTGTTCTTTAACTTGATTTTACTAATTTGGTCTCTATTTTGATGAGAAAATGGAACAGAGAGACTTGAGTGTAGAGCTATCTACAGAAGAGACCTTCAATTTTTTTTAGAGTTAATAACAAACCAAGACCCTAGATTTAAGATGGGCAATGGAATGTTTTCTGAGACCTGGACATTTGTGTTTTTTAAACTTTTGAACTTGATGTTGAAACACTTGCTTTTGTGAAGGGAATAAATATTAGATCTAATTCTTAGCTACAACAGTAATGTGATGGGGGTGGGGTTAATTAATTCTCACCTCTCAGGTATTTCTGCTGCGACAGCTTTAAGCTCAAGTACCCAGCAACAAATATTTGAAGATATTTACACATATGAGTGTTGTAATTGTATGTGATGGCTAGGTACCATATATTATTAATTTAATTAATTTTTCTTTTTATTGAAGGTAAACATGATGGAACTGTAAAAGGTAGAGAATACTTCCATTGCAAGCCCCGGCATGGTGTATTTGTTCGTCCTGGGCGCCTCAGTAAAACACCAGCTTCAACAAAGAGATGTAGTAGCACTTCACGATCTCAGGCACCCTCCAATGTAGGGAATCTGTACTTCCAGGGCCATCATCCTCTCCTAAAACAGGAGAAGCAGTCCTCTGTCAGTCAGCAGATGCGGCAGCCTCTGCTTTTTCTAGGAAACAGGAGAACAGGAAGTCTTGGATTAATTAAACTGCAGTATTTTTGCACTTAGTACACACACCACTGTGTGGAAACCTTTATGAATTTTAAAAGTTTAATGTACAGTTTTAATCTGTCCATACCGAATGTGTATTCTGTAGAGTTATAGACTTAATTCTCTAATTTTTTATAAATAATATATACATATATATATTATATATATATGAATGTGTATCTAGAGTTTGTCTGCCAGTAGGCAGATACAGCTGCACACTAAAATACAGTTAAAGCTGATTTGTAGATAATCGTGAGGTACTGGACTCTTTGATACACAACAACTTGGGAGATATATTTTAAACAAACAAACAAACAAAATATTTTATTGTGGAAAAATGGGATGCAAGTCCTTATTTGAAAAAAAGCTACAATATGCTGTTCTTAATTACCAAAGAACTTGTATTAGACTGACACATTTGCTGTTTATATCTTTTTATTGTAAATGTTTTAACTATAGCTTGGTGCCATGTTACTTCTAGTCACTGGGCACCATGCTGCCTTATGTCCTGTGTTTAAGCACACTGAAATATCTGACTGCTTCATTTTTTGTCTTCCTAGAGGCCTGCCACTGTGCTGACTTGGTATTCTATTGAAAACACCAACAATGCCTAAGACTGTGTCTGGCATTTCCTAAATGATCACAAGCCAGCCAGGCAGTTTGATTGCAGAAACAGTATTACTGTAAGGATGTGAGAGGACAACATTTTTTTAAATGGCTTTTTGGGATGTGGGTAAACAAAGCAGCGTAAATGGATCGTGACTGCCAACTTTGCACTGTTATTTGCTGGGTTATGATCAAGCTAATGGAACATTCTAATTTAGTCTGTAAAGTTTATTTTGATTACGGAAATGATAGAGGGGTTTATGTATGCTGCTTGTGGGTTCTTGAGAGAGAGATTCCACATGTAGATACTGTAGATGCCTGTACAAACATCTGAATATTTTGTAAAGTAACAAATGGTAAACATGAATGAAATGAATGGCCTGCTGTATCTGTTTTTCTTTATTTCTTAGCAAGTGAATGAGTGAGATACCTGGGACCTTACTGAAAAGCTGCTGTTCTTCCTTTGATTTATGTATAGTAAGCTGACTCTAGTATTTTACTTTTTACTGTAAAGAACTGTAATTTATATTCTGCCATACTGTATTTAATTGGTACAGAACTTTTGTGTGTTAGAATACAGACCGTTTACTTTGGATTTAAAAAAAAGATTGTTGTTCTTGTATTTGACATCACCTCTGTACTTCCTGTACTTATGGCTTCATTATCAACTAGTAGGTTAAGTGAGTCTGCTGGTTAACGGTTTTGGTGCTTCAATGGGATTTGCCATGTAAACGTCCTAATACGTATCCATGGCCTTTTAGGAATGGACAGGTGGACAGTATTACTCACTGATACCACTGACTGTCTTGTTTAGTACAAGGTTTCACTGACAGCATACAATGTATCTGGCTGTCCCCAAATGTATTATTTGTTGTTTTTTGTGGGGGGGAAAGAACTTATGTATAGCAGCAATTCACATTTTCAGTGTCCATCCAGAACTGACAGAGCTGCATCAATTGTATCATTACTGGAGGGAATTATTATAATGGTAACTGAAGAATTTCTTTATGCACAAATATTTTATCAAAGACAATAAATGATCCTAGAACACATCTAAATGTTTCTAACAAAAACAATATGTTAAATTACTTTGGGATATAACTTAACATAAAAGTTGAAAGGGAATTTTAAAAAGCTACAGGACTTGTCCCAGACATTGTGAACCGGAGTATGTTGAATCACTTGAAGGCTAATGTGGACATTATCTTGTTCTGACAAAGATGCAATGTTATACTGGATTCTGATTAAACATACAGGCTTGCTTTTAATTTATTGTAGGCATTCATAAATATAAAATGCTTATTTACATAAGTGACTTTGGGGTAGGTTTGCTTCTGCTAATAGGCAGGCTATAAAGATGCTACAAAAAGTCAACTATCTGAATGTTGTACACCTTTTCAGGGATTATGATGCTATCAGGGTGTCTCTGCCTACTGAAACTCCTCTTGGTAAGCCTTTATGTTACCTTGTCCTTCACTAACATAGGTTAACTGAAATGGAGTTGACAGTATAAACAGATGTCACTAAATAAAGCAGATCATCTGTGACAAGATGCATCAGACATAACTAATCCACTTCTTTGGGTGAAACAGACATTGTCTGTTGTCCCACAGGATTGGGCTCCTGCTGCTCCCAGGAGCAGTTAGGCCTGATCATTTGGGGTGTGTCTCTGCAAACAGGGGAACCCTGGGTTTCTCTGGCTGTGCTCTGCTGCAAGCAGGAAAACCCTGAGGTTTTTATAGCCGGACAAAGGCAATGTTTGTTTCCAGCCTTTATTTAGTAGCTAGCGCAGTGGTTCGCAACATTTTTAGACTCAAAACACCCCTCAGTAAACTCAAAACACCCCTTAATAGACTTGAGGCACCCCTTGGAAAGTGCTGGCTCTTAATTTTCACTTGTTTTTTGACTACAGAAAAATAATCAAGCAATTCTCCTGTCACAAAGAACTCAGAAGCCACAACAGGTCAGAATGGTTTTAACACTACAGCTTCCTCTTGGAAATATCTTGATTTATCTTGTGACTCGTGTTTGTACATCTAATAATGCTAATGTTGTGTGGCACCCTTGAAAGGATCTCCAGGCACCGCTGCTTGCCTTGGCATCCTGGTTGAGAACCACTGAGTCAGAGCAACAAGGTAGAAGTCAGGCATTTTATTCCCAAACTTGCTACTGTAGGCAAGTGGTTGATCCGGCCTTATCTTTCTATGTCTTGTTTTCTAGGTGTAAGATCTAAATTCTCAGCTGTGTGAAGACTTACTATCTCCCTTGTGAAATTTGCAAGTTTCAGCGAAAAATCCCTCTCAGCGTACAAAGCATTAGTAATCATATTTGCCACTGGAATCAAAAGATTAAATTGTTGTGCACAAGAAGAAAATAACACAAATAACTGAAAACTAAGGCGATTACAAGTAAAGTTGTGTTCAGATTTTGTTAAGAAAACACTTAACATAGAACTCCCATATGCTAGTAAGCAGCAGCATTCTCACAGACCCAGTGCTTCAAAAGCCTCGACATCCACAAACACACCTAGAACTTCTGAACTTGCTACAGTTGAGTGTTCTGTTTTCAAGTACAGAAAACACATGCTTTTGGTATGCTTCAAACTTCATGTGCAAAAATATGGAAGTGTGACACAGGAGCAGATTGTCAATGCCATGTTGCACCGGTGCCCTGGGGCAGATCCAGGGGCTGGGTGAAATGGTCCCGTTACATGCCCACTTTTGATTCCTCCTGCACCCAAACGTTAAAACCAACTACTTGGAAAGGACTGCAGCATTCCTATTCGGGCAGGCCTGAGAGAGTCAATTGCCTTCATGGTTCATTATCCTCTACCTGGTTCCTGCTAATCTCTCTATACTCCACAGGCATTAATGACCCTCTGTCCCACAGATTGGCAAGCCCTGGCATGCATGCCAGAGCATGGCACATGAGGCCATTTTCCTCAGCACACCACAGCCAGCCTGGGCTCTGGGCAGCTGCAGCCAACCACAGATCCCAGGCTGCTTGCAGCAGACGGCCAAGAGGCTGCAAACAACTGCATGGGAGTCTGCAGTCCCAGCACTGGCTCCATGGTGGCTGCAGCTGGACACATGCCTCTGGGTGCACAGCTGGGAAGGGACCTGGGGCAGCGCAATCCTGGCCCATCCCTTGCCATCCTCCTGGAGGTGTGCATGCAGCTGCCACCACCATGGAGCCAGTGCCAGGGCTGCAGAGCTCAACACAGTTGTTTGTACCCTGCTGGCTGCCCACACTGCTCGTGGCACCGCCAACATGGAGGCACTGCTGTGGCTGCGGAGCCCAGCACAGCTGTTAGCAGGTTAGCAGCCTCTCAACTGTCTGCCACAGCCAGCCTGGGCTCTGGGCATCAGCAGCAGACAGTGGGCAAGCTGCAAACAGCTGTACTGAGGTCCAGAGTACTGGGACCAGCTCTGTGGCAGCAGGTGCACGCACACCTTGCAGCACAACCCTGGCCCCTCCCCAACATCCATCCAGTGAGTGGCATGTGTGCAGCTGCCACCAGCAATGAGGATCAGGTCCCTTACAGCTCCCCTATCTCTGGCATGCCAAGTTGAGGCATGGGTGGAGGTGGTGTGTTTTTGGCACTCTGGCCAAAAATGTTGCCAACCCCTGCTGTATCCTTCTTTAATAGTCTTGATGTTCCACTCTTCAAATGATCCTTTTTTCCACAATTTTGCTGTGTTAGCCATTCCTGGTAATTTCACAGCCCTACACACTGCTTTTAGCTCTAGGTAAAAACCTTAACTCAGATGTGGTGCTATTAACTCAGGTGTAGAAATGATCGACAGCAGAACATTGGAGGCACTGCCAAGATGTGCCAGAAAGCTAGATATTGATTTATGAATCTGAATAAGAGCTGTACATTTAACTATAATAACGACAGGACTGATGATGCAATATCTTTTGACTCTATTTTGCCTAATTGTTTTTTTTTAAGCTTTCTATATACAGGTTGCCCTTGTTTTATGCTGTGCATGTGTTCCTGGAAAATGGTGCATAACTCAAATTTGCATAAAGGGAACCAATTTTACAATGTAACAAATAGGGATATGTTCCAAGACCTTGACTGTACTGACCCCCAGACCCATTTCTACCACTTTTACAAGATAATTTTGGTACTCATCGGCAGCAGACAGTACACACAAGCATAGGGTGGTGGTGAATGTTACCATAATGGGAATGGCAACTACAGAAATGTGTTGCAGACAATGAACAAGGAGCACAGATCCACACAGACTATATTTTTGTGCACGTCACTCCTATACTGCACTGCACAAAGCACCTGACTAGCAGGCTTTCACCCCACTGATTGCATAAGAGTTGATTTACCTCCCACATAACAAATTTTTGGTATAAAAAGGGTCATTGCATAAGAGCAAATTCGCACATACAGAACCCACATAAAGCAAGGGAAGCCTGTACCCTAGCAAATGAGCACCCATTCCAATCATCATGTTGATTTTTGCTTTGATCTTACTTGGAATAACTGAGGGCTGTCCCCTGATGCATTAGCACAGCATCTAGTTTTGCTTTCACTGGAGAAAAATGTGTTGTGTTCAGGGGTGGGTCTGGCATGCTTACTTTGATTTCTGGTCTACCCAAAATTTAAAACCAACTCCCCGGCAGTAGTAGCAGCATGCCTAGTTACGCATTGCTGAAGAAGTCACTTGATTTCATGGCTCATTGTCATCTCCCCGATTCCTTCTAAACTCTTTGTTCCATGGATATTGTCATGACCCAAAGGCATGATTTTGTGTGTGCTTTGGCACCAGAATTATCCCCGCCAAGTTGCAGCTTCATTGCACGGGAGAGTTTCCTGTTGCAGAGGAAAACCCGGGTGCAGGGACGAGTTTCCCGCCTTTTCTGCAGCTTCTTTTGCAGAGTGCATTGCTCAAGTTCCAGGAGGAATGCACGGTGCAAAAGAGTTCCCGCCACTGGTATGTAAATTTGTTCCCCGCTGTTGGCTAGTTTTAAATTATTCACACGTGGCGGCTAACGATTGGCCTGTTAGCCGTATAAGAGGCTTGAGCAGTTTCTGCCCAAGCCGAAGAGGACTCCACATCCATCTCGTGGGGACTCTGGATACACGGCAGGGTAATAGAAACCCTGTGTGAGATTCAGAGGAGCTTGGCGACCTGATCCATCGCCCACCTCTTCCCGTCTTCGATCACAAATTTTATAAGATGTATCTCTGATTCCGATTTTGGTGGCTCGTTCACCCAGAGCATCCGGAGCTCTGTTCCGTGGAGCCTAGCAAACTCCATGAGACCGTCCGTGTTGTCTGTGTCTGTAACCGCAACTCAAGCAAGTTTTCCAGCCTGCACCACTGCCATCTCGGTGTAAGTAAACAATCTTTAAAACTACCGCTAAGCGTTTGTGCCTAATTCCAGCTCGTCGCCCTCCCTTTCCGATCCAGTGTGCCCGGGCTGCTGGCCACAGCCCGCGTGCAGCATGGAAAA